GCTCCAGGCGAACAGATTAGCATTCTCGCGCAAACAGGCCTTGATTTGCTTCCTGGCCAAGTCGGGGAGGTCTTTGCCAATCTTCACTCCCTTGGTCGGGTCTGTGCCGAGGGGGACGAGTTCAAAATCCCCGTCCGGTATTGGTCGGAGTGGGATTTGCTCGCTGCTGGATGGCTCGTCCTGGTTGAAGCGGGTGTCCAGGGCTATGGAATCGACCTTTGGTGGAGCTTTCTGGACTTCTTCTTCAGGGGATGCTTTCCTGTCGGGCTCCTGTTTTGTCCTTTTGGCGGGTCTGGTCCCTATGTCGACGGTATCACGTCCCTTAGATGCGGCGTTGAAGCACCTGCGGGCAGCGGCTAGGTCTCCTTGGATGGTGACTACCCGTGCCCTCCTGGTGTAGAACTTCATCTTCAGGTGGACGGTCGAGGGCACCGCTGTTAGTTCTGCCAGTGTCGGTCTCCCCAAGATGCAGTTGTACAAAGACGAGCAGTCAATGACGAGGAAACGAACTTTGACTTGTCTTGTAGCCGTTCCTTCGCCGAACGTAACCAGGAGCTCGACATATCCCCAAGGTTTGGAAGTCGAGCCGTTGAAGCCTTGTAGATCCGATCCCACATACGGAGAGAGATGTGAGTCGTCCAGCTGTAGGGTTCGGAACAGCTGGCTGTACATCACGTCGACGGAACTCCCTTCGTCGACCAGGATGCGATGCACATCAAAATTGACCATTCTTGCCCTTATCAGTAAGGGGATGACCGCGTTCGGGGCTCCGCCGGGGAGTTCTTCCAGGTAGAAGGTAATGGGCTCTGACCTGCCCTTCACCCTTTCGAACGTCACTGTTTGCGGGGGAGCCGCGTCGACCAGTTCATCCAGCTTCCTCTTGGCTGAGTTGATGGTTAGGTCGTTGAACCCGCCGCCGTTGATGACCAGGGCGGAGGGGAAGTATTCCCACCTGCTGTGCGTTGTAAGTGGCTCTTGCAGGTGCTCGGGGAAGTCGAAATCCTCGGGCCTGGTCACGGAGAAGGCAGTTTGGATGGGCACCGACTCGTCAGATGGTCGGGCGTCTTCTTCTGGCTCCCTGGCTTCTTGGGCCTCACGACGGGGAGCGTCGCTTCACCTATACTGTGCGAGCCTCCCTCCCTTGATGAGGGTTTCAATGGCGTCCTTGAGGTGGACGCAATCCTCAGTCAGGTGACCATGGCTCCTATGGTACTGACAATATTTGTTTTTGTCTGCTCTGGGCTTGGCAGGAGCGGGTCGGGGACGTTTGACACCGCCGTCCTTGAAGTCGGTGCTGGCACACTCCGCCAGGATGCGCTCGCGGGAAGCTGTGAGAGGAGTGTACTCGGTGAAACGTCCCGAGGGTCCTCTTTGTTCCCGGACTTCCCGGGGTCTGTCTTCCTTCCTTTTCTCCGCGGTTCGTCGAGGAGGAGGCTCTTGGCGTGAGCTGTTGTAGGGACCACGAGTCCTGGAATCTCGGGCTTTGTTGACCGCCTCCCTCTCCTCGTAGTCCATATATGCTCGGGCCTTTTCGAGGAGGGCATCAAATGTTGGAGGTGGCTCGATACCCACAGCCTTTCTGAATTTTGTGTCGGGGAGGAGCCCTCTCTCCAGCAAGTATCTTTTCATATGGTCCGCGCAGGGGACCTGTATTGCTTCCCGGTTGAAGCGGTTGATGAACTCCCTCAAGGTTTCATCCTGTCTTTGGATGATGGCCTCGAGGGCCGCCTCAGTCTTTGGATGGCGTCGAGAAACTGTGAAGGAACTGATGAACTGGTTCTTCAGGTTCCGCCACGACGTGATTGAGCCCGGGGCGAGTCCTTTATACCAGTCCATGGCCGCCTTCCTGAGAGTCGTGGGGAAAAGACGACACTTGATGGGCCCCCCGACATTATGATAATGGAGCATAGCCTCAAACCCGTCAATGTGATCGACCGGGTCCGCGACTCCATCGTACTCCTTCAGATGTGGGGGCTTCTCCATGCCCGGTGGGATGGGTGCATCCATGATGGCCTACGACAGGGGACCGCGGGGGTCGTCCTCGTCGCTCCTCTCTGGAGACAGAGATGGGGACCTGTAGTATTGTCTGGCACGGCGGTCGTGGTCGTGCTGAGTCTTCCTCGAGCGTGATGCTCGTTGGTTGAATGTTACACGCCCGTCTCCAGCGTGTCTCTTGTCGTGCCTCGCCGGGTCGCGACTGGGTTCTCCGACAGGGATGACGGGCTGTCTCTCCAAATAGGGTCGCCTCTGCTTTGGCCGGGGAGATGGGCTTCGAGAGGTCTCCCTGTAGTGTCTCCGCGGGGGAGAAGGGTGTCGAGTTTCGGCCACTCGAGGAAGGGGAGTATGTGGTCTCCGATGGCTCCTCGGGGGTCTTCGCTCGTCTTCAAGCGCCTTCAATCTCTCTCCTTGGGCGAAGATGAGATAGTTCGTTTGATTAATTGTTGCGAACAACGCTTGTGTTGTAGCGTCCGCCCCGGAGGGGACGGGGACTTCCTGGAACCGGGCGGCTCTGTAGTGGGCGAGGGCCGCCGGGTCGTCCTCGAGTGGTGGTGGGAGCGAGGAGGATGATGCAGTAGCTCCGTCCATGTGGGAGGAAGTTTCGGGGACGGTTGTTGTAGGAATGGTGTTGTGGCCGGGATTGCCGGCGCTGTCGAGATGTCCGTTTTTGTCCGCCGTGCCGTTATTGGTGTCGGCGACACGGACGTTCTGCTCATCGTGAGCTGGTTCAGCCATGACAGGTAGTTGAATTTGAGCTTTGGTCTTTTGAGTTGTTTGTAAGACGGGGAAGCTAGTTTCCCACAGACGGCGCCACTGATCTGACCTGATCAGACTTGGACCGTCACGGCTGGCTCCGAGCTGAAAGTTTTGAACGAGGTGGGGGGGGGGGGTATACCTGCAAGACACTCCGATGCTGAAGTAAGTAAGAGCACGAGCAGGCAATAATAAGTATGGGTAGAATGATGAATACCTGACCCTCTGGAAACAGAGGGTATTTATAGCCCCCAGCGCTGGGCCAAGGTTCCTTCATTGGGCCGGGCAGGTTTGGCCCAATGGAGGAACTGCCAGGTTCTACGTGCGTAGTGGGGACCCGCACGTGGTCCCCTCCCTGGATGTTCTGCGTGAAGTGCGGGCGGACAGAGACACGGTCTTTTCGGAGCCCCGTTGAGAGTGCAGTGGACTGGGTCTGCCCTAGGAGGGGTGCTCGAGGTGATGTCAAGCTGGAGAGTATGAGGTCGAGCAAGTAGCTTCAGGGAGCTCGTCGGGCACGACTGTGATCCCTTGCTCGGCGTGGTCCCCAGCGAGTCCGTTTGGATTTGGCTTTCTCAATGCTATTGGGCCAGTCGGGCCCAGTCCAGAACAATAATAAAGAAAGTAGTAAATTGCAGGAATTATATGTCCCACGCTATTACAACGCTTCAGGAGTGGGGGTACAAATTTATGAATGGGGATGAAAATTAGTAAACCCTAATTAAAGCTATTACAAACCATTGAGCATTTACAACAATTAGGAAATAAAGTACGCGGAGATTTGTAAAATAAAGAAAAGAGAAAGAAAATTATTTTGTGATTTTTTGATGAAAAAAGTTTGATGATTAACCTAATTATTTGATTAATTAAAAAGAATGCTTAATTAAAAAAGAAGTCTAAATTAACTTTAGTTTTTTTTACAAAATTTTCATGAATAATCTATGGATAATCTAGTAAATAAAGTGAAAATAATAAATATTTCTTCATATATACATAAAACCTCCGAGAGGATGTATGAAACTGCAATAATATTCTTTCATTACTATAATTATGAACGTATCACCAAATATTTATGTATAAAAAATAGAAATGAAGACAATAATTTGTATCCACATCATTTTCTTTTTGAAATAAATATCAGCAACACAAAATTTCATACATAAAAACTACCAAGAATATGTCAATTTAAATGAACGGATACATCTGCAGTAGTTCCAACTAGACCCAAAATATGAAACCCTAAAATCTACACATATATAAAACACCTTGAGAAAAAACCCTAAAATCTACAAAGAAGAAGAAGAAGGCGAAACCATAAAAGTACCATATTAATTATTCACAAACCTGATGCGATTGTCGCTCTTATCTTTGCTCTGTATATTTTTTTCTTGTTTCCACGCCCATTACTTTCAAACATCAAATAAATCCAAGATGCGCAAAAAGTTTGGAGCTTTCACCACAGATCTACTACTGCAAAATCTCATACCACTGTAAAACTGCCGAAACACCACAACCATCGTTGTCTCTCCTATTCTGATTGGTACCCAACAACCTTGTAGTATTTGTTAAAGAAAAAGAAGAGAGAAGAAAGAAAAGAGGGGAGAGAGATGATGTTAGTATAGGCAATATAAGAGATAATAAATAAGAAGATGAGAGAGAAGAGAGAAGATAGAAGAAGAGGAAGTGCGAGATTATGTTGGGAAGAGAGGTGATGTAGCATAAATTTTCATATTTTGGGGGAAACAAAAAATTTGAAGTGATAAAGTTATTGATTTGACTATAAAAATACTTGGTTTGGAACCAAAATGAATCAAAAGCAACGAAAATGTAATAAAAATAATATATAAATATTGTTGATAGGCTTATAATAATGCAGACCATCTTTCAAATATAACCAAACCTAAGTAAATGACTAACATTTAGTTAGATTGAACTCAAATTGCCTTCAAATTTATAATATGTCACCAAGTAATAAAATGATAGAATTGTATAATGGAGAAGAACTAATTTTCTTATATTATAAATTAATTAAACAAGAAACCATCACCAATTTTTATCTTGTAATAATAATATAAACATAACCTCTTTCCCTCCCATCGTTTCTTATATTTTCTTCCCTTCCTCACAAACCTCTTGCTTCCAAAACTTCTCTAAAACCACCAACGCACCTTCTCCAAATTAGGTATAAATAAATCACCAGATCTATTTGCATTCTGAATTCAAACTTTCCTGCCATTGGTTCAACGTTCGCCATGGATTTTACCGATAATGTGGTGCCGGAGGTTTCTCATTTCTCCGTCGCGATCTACTTCGCTTTCGGTAGTTTGGCGGCGAGGTTCATCCTCGACAAATACGTTTTTCGCGTAAGATCCTTTCTTTTCCTAATCAATTTCGTTTTAATTCTCTGCGAATTTCGTTTCGCCGCCACCGATTGGTTTAATCTTTTGTTTCTTTCAGAGGCTGGCTATCAGGATGTTGACGAAGGGGAGAGTTCCGTCGCGGATTAATAAGGAAATGCAAATAAAGATTGTGAAATGCACGGAGTCGATGTGGAAGCTAACGTATTATGCTGCAGTTGAAGCTTTTGTTCTTAAATATACCTTCAATGAACCCTGGTTTACGAATAGGAGAATGCTATTCGAAGATTGGCCGAATCATGAGTTGAAGTAAGAAATTTATGTAGCGAAATGATCCAATTCAGTCTTGTTAATACGAATGTGTTTTCTGTATATTGAATGACTTGCATCTCGCGTGTTGATTAGATTTGTTGTGTTCATGTTTCTTTGGAAGACCTCTGAGTATATAGAAAATCAAATTTCTAGGGTTTTCAAAGCAATAGACATATATGCTCCTCCATCCAAGAATTGGCAATGCAGATAGTTTTGTAGAATGTAGTATATAGTTTATGACGAGTTTTGTTTCTCACTTCTGCTAACTAGGGCTTTAAAGAAAGGTCTGCGACTGCGAAAACGGCCGCGACAAAACGGTTTTGACAGATGCTGATACCGTTATCAGCGTTTTCTATATTGAAGAACAAATTGTAGTAAATTCACACCGCGACGACCGCAATCAGAATCGCGACACTTGTACCGTCCAAAATTGCGAAAACCTTTGCGCGACAGTTTTTTAAAACCTTGGCTAACTCTATCATTGGTTGCTATTTGGTTTTAGCAACAGTCTAGTCTACTCGCATATAAAAAAAGTTGTGCTTTAGGAAGAAAATTAAAAAGACAATTGTACTAATATGTGAGATTTTTTTTATATAAAGTTGCTGCCTTATCTAAATTTTTATTGCATTCTGTTTCATTTCTTTTCCCAGGAGTCCCGTGATGATTTACTACATGTGCCAATGTGGGTTCTACATATATAGCATTGCGGCTATTCTCCTTTGGGAGACTAGAAGGAAAGATTTTGCAGTGATGTTTACTCATCATATAATTACTGTAATACTGATTGGGACCTCATATCTAACAAGGTAATATACTTGCATTGGTTTTCAATTGAAGAATATACCGTGGTAATTTTAGATAAACCTTAAATTTGGATCTTATTTATTGTTGTCGTTTTGCATAAGCATTAAAAATTTCACACGGTGATCAATATTTTACACTCAAAACATTTGATATTATTTATTGTTCTTTTTTATATTTGTTATCATGTTTTGGACGCAAATGTTGTTCAGCAGTTTTGTCTTCAAGTAATTTTCATAATTGTAGGTATTGTGTGTAAGACCAATAAATTAAAGTTTGAGTTTTGAAAAAAAATGAATGGCGCTTTCAAATTCTAGTTTCCTGAAAATTCATCCTAATCTAAAGATTGAATTATGATTGGTGTAACAATACTTAGTTTGTGATTTGTCTTGGTATTGACCCTTCACATGCCTAATATAACTGATAAACCATTTATAAGTCATATTTTTTGTGCCATATTTTTATGCCAATGACTATGCAGTTAATTGCAGCCATAGTTGCAGCATTTGCGGTATTGTTTAGTGTAGGCCGGGGGCTCTACAGATTCTGTCTTTGCGTTTTAGCGCTGCAGTTGTTGCACCCCAAGTTGTGACTGGAAAATTGGGAAAATGTGGATGTTTCAGCCGCAACAATCAAGACAAAATGAAAACAAAAAACCCCTTGTTTTATAGCCATTATTTTCTTCTTTTTGGGGCATTTTTGTTTTCTGCTTCTCTATAAAAGATCAGTGTTATCAAATGGCGGCGCCATGGTCGCCATGGTGGATATACATGGCAGTTTTTGGATTTGCCACAATGGTAAATATCGGCCGCAAAGCGACCGATATGGCGGGATTTTGGCTCTCCGCCATGGACGGCTATCTACCATCGACAACATTGTAAAAGACCTAAACTCTGACTAGAGAAAATTAATCCTAGTAACCCCACTTTTCCCTCTTTTGTGCGAGAAGAAAACATAACAACCCACTCTTGTCTTTGCAACATAGCACATGCCTTCCCTCTGCATATTTGCTATACATTTGGTTTGAAAATTAGTAACAAACAACAAACTTTGACAGTTAGTTATGAATGTGTGCTAATTTTGTATATTCTTTTATTTTTTGAGCTCTTATGTGTATGGTATAAATTACTTGTGTTGTGATGCCAAAAATATTAAAAAAATGCTTCTATTGTTTCCTCAAGCTTCGGAGTAGCAGCCATAATATCACCTGCTTTCATCACTAGTGTTTTGGTCACTGCAACTATCCCTAATCTGCGACTGATTCGCAGGCCAGTGGCATGAATAACATTCATAACCTGATCTTACGATTGGGATATCTGATTGATGCAATAACACTATTCATTGTCAACACTTCATAGGCCTTTGCTGTGCCACATACAACATTTGTAACCTGATCTTATAGTGTTTTTTTTCTTTCTGCTCACTTCTTTTTCTAGGTTTGCTATATTAAGAAAAATGATTTTGAATCAAATTGCAAAAATGACATTAACATCAAGACAGATTATGAAGAGGTAACTTATGCTGTTAAGCATGTGGTATTTACAGTTTTTTCAGGCTTGGCGCCATGACCCTAGCCCTTCATGATGGAAGTGATGTATTCATGGAAGCTGCCAAGGTATTCAAGTATTCTGGAAGAGAATTTGGTGCTAGCGTGTGTTTTGCATTCTTTGCAGTTTCATGGCTCTTATTGCGGCTAATTTTCTTTCCTCTTTGGATTATTAGAACAACAAGGTTTGTCTATTTATTTTTCTTGATTTCATTGGACTTTGTTTTTGTGAGGCAACTTACTAATCATATTTTCTCTCCACCGGATTTCTCACTTTCCAGCCTCGACCTTAAGAAGGTCTTAAACCTGTCAGAGACTTTGCCCATGTTACTTTACTATGAGTTTAATTCATTGCTCATAATGCTGTTCATCTTCCATATATACTGGTGGGTGCTCATATGTGCGATGATCAACAGACAACTGAAAAATAGGGGAAAAGTTGGCGAAGATATTAGATCAGGTAAGCAAATTTCATCAGTACAGATTACTGATATAAATGTTGTTAGTATTCAACTATTCTTTTATTAAGGAACCAGTCAATTGTCACGTGTCAGGATATCTACCACTGAATATATTGTTACAGATGCCCCCTTCACTAGTAACATCATAATTGAATAGTTTTAAAAATTCTGAATTAAGAAATATGAGTTTGCCTGGAGAACAAAATGTGAAGTGTTAGTTTTGTGTAAATTGTTTGCAGTTCCAGTATCTTAGGGATGGAAGTAGCCTGTTCACCCATAATTAAATAGCTCATACCTCATAAGAAAATGTAACATAACGAGATTGACATGTGTTCGACATATGTATGGTCAAGGATAAGATTAGGGGTATAAAGCTAAATCGCTAAAGATGCCTACTTTGAGTATTCTATTACCCCCAGTTTGTGATATGCTTAGGGTTATTTTACTCTCAATCATTTTGTATTAGTTAAATCTTGATTCTCAGTTCTGTATTCCTACTTCATTTTAACTATTGCAATCAAAACCGTGTCTAGTTATTGCACGCAGTTTCCAGCAACTACAGATCATTGTTGTTATTGTCTTGGGTAAGTTTGTACTTTATTTTAGCTGAAGGGAGCCCTTTTTTCTTTTTTGCAGATTCAGATGATGATTGAACAGATGAAGGATTTTGCTGAGTTTTCTTTGTTCTTGCTGGTCAGTTGGAGTTGTCTAATAGATTTCTAGATGCTCAGTTGGTTAGTAAATCCAATCGACGAAGGCTGAATTTTCGTTAATTTCAAAATTTTCATTGATCACCAAGTTAAGTTGAAGTAAGAGAACCGTTGAGCATAAGTCATATTTTTGCTGTATAAATTATAGGAATTCCTGTATAATTTTTTCCCTCCCAAACAAACCTTTATAGTAGTCCAGGTTTTCACTGAAAAGTAGGGGATAAACAAAATTAAGAAGAAAAGAATTCTTAGAGTGAGCTACTTTGCATGCTGTTTCATGCAGTGTAAGGTGTTGCTCTGGTCTTGTGGATGTCATTTCATGTAAAATTGTGGTGATGTGGTTTTACTGGAAATTTCAATGACTAGTTTAAAAAATCATTATTGAACCAAACTAAGTCTAGAATGGAACCATACATAATCGAACTGCTATCACAGTTTAATTACTGAACTTGTTGCTATTTTAGTTGTAAAGCAGTTCTTGAGTTCTTGAATCAGTTCAGTGCGGCGATCACACTCATCTAACTGAACTAAATGATTTTGAGCTCTTTGAAGATAGTTGTATATTCTTATCTAAGTCCCTGATTAAATGTGCGTGATCTCTAGTTTTTACAAATCCATTCTCTCGTAAAATCTACAAGTATAATGATTCACTAATTTCTCTAATTCATCCAAATTTTGGTTCAGTGGCGCTCTTTAATTTACACTGCGCTGATGCATTAACCGTGAAAAACATGTTAGCTTTTTTGCAATCCAAGGAGTTAGATTATTCGATCTGTTTTTTTTCTTATAGTAGTTTCTAACATTTTTATTTGAAACCTAATTGGTTGCTCTTAGAAGATATTCACGGTTAGCAGTTGTGCACAGTTGGATGAGGGACTTAAAAAATGTCTGTTTCTATATCTGTGACCTCTAAATTTGGAGAGTTTTTTTCCCACCTCTATAGGTTATCTCTAACTCCTAATGAAAAGTTTAAAATGGCTAATTTACATAGATGCATTTTTGGACGTGTTTTCTCACAAAATAAGCGCAATTGAGTGAGTCTCTCATTATGTCAAAATTTAGGGTGTGTCTGCAGACGTATCTTTAGACTAACCTTTATTTTCAAATTCAAGGAATTTTCGGAGATGCATTTCTGGATTAATCCTATAGTATCTAAAATATAAATAGCTAAAAATACATTCAGGAGTGTTTTTAGATATGTATCTCCGAACTAATCTTTGGCAAAAATAAGGTGATTGTTTGATTTACGAAGGATGAGGTGATTTAAGGTGGTTCAGAGATGTATCTCTGAAAACATCTGAGGACAATTTTGAATTTTCAGAGGTGTGAGTCACACCCCTAAGGTGGGGAAAAAATTTCTCAAATTTTTTAATGGAATGTAGAATTGAATATGTGGAATTAAACAAACCTTATGCTTAACAAAATAGCTACCAATTGACTTGTCGATATTGTTACTCATTTGCGTTCTTTATCTCCAAAGCTTTCACGCACGATCAATTGTACCTATTGTACATAAGACTTCAATTCGATTCTCCGTTCTCGCGCTATTTCTTTTGCGTTCTTTATCTTCATAGGATCCTTTGCGTTCTTTATCTCCAAAGGTTTTCACTAGACTGCAATTCTCTCTTGAATGTCTTACACGAAAACCCCTAAATCTATCAATGATCTCGGAGGACAAACTCGCAATTTTTTCGTATGAAATCCCCTGCAAATCTCAACCAAATATTCCCGACTACACAAGAACTTAGTTGGACGTTATCAAACCTAGTCTAGATGACATCCCGACAAAAGATGATTATGTGTGATTTATCAGTGTATGTATAGGTTGGAGGTTGAAGGTGAAGAGGAAATGTAATATGTGTTTATAGTTTCATCAAGTTGGAATGATGCATGAATGATGTATTTATAGTTGTGGAAAGTTATATGCAAAAAGAGAATTTTTGGAATTAAAAAGAATTGAAAATTTGACCCAATTAAACAGTATGTGTCGATCTGAAAATATTATGTGTCAACACATAGGTCAAATTTTAATTGTATGTGTCTTTGAAAAACTGATGTGTCGACCGAAGTATGGCAGTAGCGTTTAGCTTTTAAAATTAAAGTGTATGTGCCGACCTGAAATTCGTATGTGCCGACACATAAAATAATTTTTTTTGCAATTTCTTAAAAGCTTTAGTATGTGTTGACCCGTGTACATACACGTGTCTGCCTAAGCCCTTCAGAGGCTACATGCTTCAAAATTGAGTTGCATGTGCCGACTTGAAACACGTATGTGTCGGCACATTCAAGAAAGAAATCATGCAAAAATTTGTTTTTCAAGACTTTGGTCAATTTCAAAATGGTTTTTAATGGTTCTTAAGACCCCTAATATAAAGGAATGCCACAAGACATAGAGTACCGTCCAATATACAGAAATGCTAAGTTTTCCTAGTTTTGACATCACGCAAAACATCAAATGGTGAAGTTGTACTCACATACTTCCCCTTTTTGATGATGGTAAAGCTTGCGAAGATGCATTTCATGTAGTTATCGAAGGCTCCCCTTTACTTTGTGCTTCCCAACTTCATCTCGTATATGCTTATCCCCTTTGACAACATCAAAAAGAAAGATAACAAATTGTCAGAAGTATCATATTTCAATAGAAATGGTAATATATCACTTAGAGGTGTTTTTGCACACACACACACACAGACACACACACACACAGACACACACACACACAGACACACACACACACACACACACACACAGACTCACACACACACAGACACACACACAGACACACACACAGACACACACACACACACACAGACACACACACACACACACATATATATTTGTAATAATGCGAAATTGATAAATAATCAACACACAACATTATTGAAGGTGTGAGAAATAGAAGAAAGGAGCATTTGAATTGGATTTCACCAAATTAATTTTTTTTCTGGTGACGAACCAAGTAAGCTTAGAACAAAAAACAGTAAATGAACACTGATTTTTTATCCTAGTTCGTTGTTAACTAAGCTATTCCAGTCCACCCTCGCAAGGATGATTTCACCTTCAACAAAGACTTAATCCACTATAACCAAATTGATTACAGAACAACCCACATCAAGTCGGATCAACCTTATTGGCACCCCCAATAAGTTTGTCAATCCTTACTGTAAATCTACTCAAGCCGCAATAGGAGTCTTCTTGAGCTAAAAACTTCACTCAGTCTCTCAAGGTATCATTCAAGAATAGTTGAGAACTTTCAGTGTATTATAGATTTGCTTCTCATAACCAGATTACACAAACTTTTCAGTACAATGAAGAATACCTAAGTGTTCTACTGCAAGATACGAGCAACAAATCCTTGCTTATTTACAAAACTATACACAGATAATTTCTCTATAGAGTTTTCACAATGTTTTGGTGTAGTTTTGTTGAGCTTTATTTGAACCAATAGATTTGTCGTTGTAATGTAGTTTGTTACTTTTCTTCAGCTTCCAAGTCTTCCTTTTATAGCTTGTAAAAGAGATACATTTAAAGAGTAGAAAGGTAAATCGGAAATTTAGATGTTTGTTCTCAACGGTTATAATGAGAGTAGTCATTGTCAAGTACAAAAGAACTGTCCTTGCGCCAATCTAGAAGAGTAGAGGTCACAGTCACTTTATGTACCTTTTGTACACTATCACACATTAACCATTTTGGACTTTTCTTCTTGATCTACAGAGGCTTCAGATATTTGAATGTTGAGCGTTGAAGTTTGTTGTAGAAGAATATTTCTTAAGCCTTAGAACTTAAGTCTTTGTGTCTTCAGAACTTGTCACATAGAACCTTGTCTTCAGAGTCTTCATCACTTGGTTGTAAGAACTTCATTTTCTTCAGATCATTAGAACTTATTTTGCAGAACCTTGTTCTTCGTAATCTTCATAACTTGTAACACAGAAGTAAAATTTTAGAAGGCCTCCAAAGCTAAACCGTAAGTCAACGATCATAACTTCTTGTACTAATGTTCCTAAGACACGTTGCAGAAGATCATTTCAGAACCTTGACTTTACCAAAAGATGTAACCATGTGTTTTTTTCTAGAGTGTATGTTCAGAACCTGATGATGGCGTCACACGCCTTGTATCAGAGTCAGAATATTATAGCAGCAATTACACACTAGACGAAATAATTAGTATATACAATTGTTCTCTAAGATAACATGTGAAGTTATCATCAAAATCTCAAGGCCAGATGTAGGAAACACTTCTTGTTCTTACAATATCCCTATTTTTGATGATGACAAAACCATGTATTTTGATAGAACAATTTATATAGCGTAATCACCATAACCGAAAAATTCAGAGTTAAGCTCAAGGCTCCCTCTAAATCTGTTAAACCCAAAATTTCATTTAAGCTTATTCAGAGTCCCCCCTTGAGCCCAAGACTCACAAAATAAATTTTGAGTATCAGAACATAAGAATAGAGAAGTAACACTTCCCTACAGTAACTCATCAGAGTCTGACTAGAATACCTAGTCTTCATCTCAGAACCTGGTTTCTATCAGCATTTGACAAAGAATCAAAACTTGATTTGAGCCTGATTGAATAATGCCACACATTATGTATCAGCACTTCTAGACCATTATTCTGATATCACAACCAAAATACTATGCTTCTCAAGCATCAATGTTGGATATGATATTCTCCATTGTATCAGAAATTCAAATAGTTCACAACTTCTGAATAGAGCGTACGTTGCTGAAGCACACGTATCAAAACAAAAATTCTGAGTGACATCTTTGTATGAGAGCATGCATCAGAATGTTGATTTGACTTCCTTCTAGGAGAGCATAACTTATGAGCTTTGAGTATGAATTTCATACTTTCATAAAGTTAACAACTTCTGAATACTATGATATCAAGCAAGATTGTCTTACTTTTAGTAAGTTTATTACTTATAAATTGTGTTTGG